CTGCTTCTCCCTCTGACCCTAACCCCTCTCATGTGCTCTCTCTCTCTCACTCTCTCAAATAAATGAATAAATAAAATCTTTAAAAAAAAAAAAAAAGAAGAGCACTGGGTCACAGCTTTTCTGTGGGAGGTGAGTAGCCACACACTCCTGGGGACTGGTCTTCCCAGGCTCAGGGCTGGAACTGGGCAGAGGTCAGAGAGTGCACTGAGTACTGCCTTATAAACGACAGGGAGCCACGGCTTCCCTGCTGCAGGAGAAACATTTCTAAGAAACTGGGAAGGCAAAATCAGAAACCACTAGGTTCTCTTACTCACCTGGACAGATGCCTCTCAAAACCTCTGCTTCCCAGGGATCTGGGCCCCATGGCGCTTCCTCTCTCTCCAGCTGGGAGACCAGATCAGGTTTGGGGAATGGAAACACTACTCCAGCAAGAAAAAGGAAAAACAAGTTGAGGGAAGACGTCCAGAGCTTTCCTGAGATCTCGCTCGGCCCACCTCACAACAGGCTAACAGGGGGAGGGAGGGAGGGATGGGATGAAATGCCCAGGAGACCAACTGAGCTATCAAGGGGTGCTGAGGAAGAGCTCCAAACTATGCTCCAAGGCAAGGCCAAGGAGACAGCCATTCTCCTCAGGAAGAAACTGCAATCTCACCCTGACCTAAAGGAAGAGATGCCCTCAGGAAGAACATAGGTACTGATTCCCATGGGGGGAGGACAACATCTCCAGAACACTGGCAGCATGGAGGAACAAAGGGCTCACCTAGGGCACAGGGAAGCATCCTCCCCGCCAGGGCCCAGAACCATGCCCTTCCGGGACATAGGGAACTCTGATTTCAAAATCAGAGGGAACCAGGGATTTATTTCCTCACCCAGCATCTCCAGAGGCTGGGGACTGCAGAACTAATCTCTGAAGTCATCAAATCCAAGGACTTCTAGAAGCCCCAAAACATCTGAGGAAGATGTCAAACTATGACAAAGGACCACGGAGAGAGTCCTTACCCAGGGAAGCCACACTCGCATAATTCTCCAGCATCACCTCCCGGTACAGGGCCCTCTGCGTGGGGTCCAGGCTGGCCCATTGATTCTGGGTGAAGTACACGGCCACGTCCTCAAAGGTCACTGGCTCCTGAAACAACAAGTTCCTGCTCAAGCCCTGTGTGAGGGCAGAAGAGAGGCCTGAGCTGCAGGGAAGAGGCGGACCTGCCAGGGTCTGCAACTCTGAGCCTCCTGGAAGGTTTGCTCTAGTGAGAAGAGCACCCAGCACCCAAAGGGCAAGGCCTCAGCCAATGTTCCCACTTCCAAATGGAGAACCCCAACACTCTTCCATCTGCATGGCTCTGAGGCCCCAAACTGTCATCCCCATCTCACAGCCTGACAGCTGGGGCTCTCTGCGTGGTCACTGCATCAACCCCATGTTCCTGACTCTGTCTCTCCGGCACCTCCTGCCCTCTTGTAGACTGCAATCCTGTCACCCTGTTTTCTATACAGCAGCCACTGCAAGCTGCCACCACTCACCCTGTCTCCACCCACTCAGAGTACACATGCACCCCGTTTGTTCCCTGCACCCTGCGTCTCCTTGGTCTTCCCCAACATTTCCACTAGTGCAGACGAGCTACTCCTTAAAGATATTTCCAGCATTCTGCAAATTTCTTTTTATACCTTCTTATCAGAAAGCTCTCTTGAAGGAAACCTGCAGCCTGCCTGTTCTGGCCTTTTCTCTGAACCACCCATCTTCAAAGAAAACCTGGGATTTCCTGTCTCTGGACACAGATCCATCCCCTAGTCTTGAGTTCCATCCCACCTGCCAAGATGGGCCCCTTTCTGCCTCCCCCTGGAGCCATCCACGTTCCCAAGGATGAAGGGAACTCATACTTGTTAATTAAGACCTAGGCACCAAGTTCTCAGGTGGGTACCTTTAGGACATGTATTTCATTTAATCTTTTTTTTTAAAGATTCATTCATTCATTCATTCATTTGACAAAGAGAGCACACAAGCACACACAAGCAGCAGGGGCAGAGGGAGAGGGAGAGAATTCAAGCTGACTCCCTGCTAAGCACAAGACCCTGAGATCATGACCTGAGCTAAAATCAGGAGTCAGACGCTTAACTGACTGAGCCACCCAGGCGCCCCTGTATGTTCTTTAATCTTAAAACATATATATGAAGTAGGAATTATTACTCCCATTTTCACATGATGAAACTAAGGTTCAGAAAGATTAATTACTTTGCCCAAGACCACACAGACAGAAACTGGTTGAGCTGGGATTTCAGCCCAGATCCATCAAACAGCAGACCTGGGCTCTTCCCACACGCCAGGTTGCCTCCCATACCGGACTCACGAGCTTCCCCTAAAACATGGCTCGCCCCTGATCCTCATCATTACCTGGTGCTGTCCTACCTCTGAAGAACAGTTTCTCAAACTCCTAACTCCCAACAGCACCTGTCAATCTGTCTTCACCATGCTCCCTCCAAGCCACAGGGACTCCCTCCCCGAGTGTGGACTGAGGGGTCAGCCCTTTCAAAACCTCACATACCACCCCAGAAGCCAGAGCCTCTGAACCTTCCATGAGGCCCAAGAGCAATCCCTAATGGTGTCCACTGGCTACCTTCTCTGCTTATACAATGGGGTAGCACAGACCACAGAAACTAGATTCTCACATTGGAGGTTTCATGACTCCTGTGCCTTCTCACCTTGTTGCCCCCCCTCCCCCCGAGTCCACATCCTAGGAGATATTCAGTACCCTATGCAGTCGGCCTTTTTCTTCCAATCACCAAAAGTGAAAACACCTACCAAGAGGGGCTCAGCTAAGCCCCTAACTCTGTGTGCCCCTGTCTCTCTGGGTAGCGGCCTTGCACTGGGGGCAGCACCGGGGCCAGGGAGAAAGGAAGACTACCGTAACTGCTCTTGGAGAAAGCCTGGAAGAAATGTATCCCAAGGATAAATGCTGGCACACTGTTCATGGCCACTCTACACTCAGGTCCTTATGAGGGTGCCCTTTTATTTTATTTTTTTAGGGAGAGAGAGCGTGAGTGGGGGTTGGAGCTGGGGGGAGGACAGAGGGAGAGAGAGAATCCTAAGCAGGCTCACTGTGGCGCCTGATGAAGGGCTCGATCTCATGACCCTGAGATTATGACCTGAGCCGAAACCAAGATCATGACCTGAGTCGAAACTGGACACTTAACTGACTGAGCCACCCAGGCGCCCAGAGGGTGTTCTTTTAAAACAACAATTAGGGAACCCAGTTCAAAAGGAGACACTGAAAGAAAAAGAACAAATGTGGACATTCCTCAAAGCAAGAAGTGGTCTTTAAACTGGGCAATGACAAGGTCCAAAGGGCCCCCAAAATAATCTGAGCCAAAAAAAATCCCAACACTAGACAGAACCACAAGGTGGTAAGGCCTCTAAGGACACCAACCACAGGACCACAGGTGAACCAAAGTTCACCTCCACGTAGAGCAAGTCAGACCTCACCTCCTCACTTCTCCAGGGCTGCTCTCACAACCTCCTCCTCCCAGCCTTCCGCCACCAATCTCTTCCTCCCCCACTGTCCCTCCCACCTGCCACCAAATATCCCCAGGGTTCCAGAGTCTGGAAAAAGGAAAACTTACTGCTTTAAGGTAGTTGGGTTGTGGATACACCTTTTTTTTTCTCCCATGGATGGTCCCCATGTACCTCACCTTATTTTTCTCCACAGCCTTTCTCATCATCCAACAAATCAGATTGTTCATTATCGATCTCCCTCCAAAAGAACATAGAGGCAAGGACTCTGTTTTGTTCATAACCGGTTCACTAACACACAGTCCAGTGCCCAGCAGATACTAGCTGCTTAATATAAATTTGCTAAATGAATTTAGAAATGATTTGACCATAAATAATTTTTTTTTAACTTATGAAGAGGGTCAGAAAACACCAGCAAGGGGTGCCTGGGTGGCTCAGTCGTTAAGCGTCTGCCTTCGGCTCAGGTCATGATCTCAGGGTCCTGGGATCGAGTCCCACATCAGGCTCCCTGCTCCGCGGGAAGGCTGCTTCTCCCTCCCCCACTCCCCCTGCTTGTGTTCCCTCTCTCACTGTGTCTCTCTCTGTCAAATAAATAAAATCTTAAAAAAAAAAAAAAATACCATCAAATACCACCCTGAGTAAAATGCCAGAGCATATCCCCTCAAACTGATGGCTGGTACTTTACCATGAGCAGAGATTCCCCCTTCTGTAAAAAACTAAAAAAGGAGCATAAATGCAGGAAATGTGCCTCAACATCTTTGCTTGCAGATGAAGTAACTATCTGCCTAAAAATACCCAAGAGCCAAGGGAATAAATGGAAAATAGTTAGAACTGACAAAATAACTCATTAAGTTGGCTACAGATAGGGTAAGTAAACGGAATCACTAGCTTTCCTAAATACCATAACAATTAGAAGATAAAAAGGCGGGGGGGCCTGGTTGGCTCAGTTGGTAGAGCACGTGACTCTTGATCTCAGGGTGGTACGTTCTGGCCCCCTGGTGAATGTAGAGATTACATAAAAATAAAATCTTGTAAAAAAAAAAAAAGAAGATAAAATGGGAGAAAATAGATGCCATTCATATACAAATAGCTAAGACTAGCCCTAACAAAAATGTGCAAGACCAAGATGAACACACAGAAATAAAGGAGAAACAGTGTTTCTGAGTGGGAAGAATCAAATTTGTAAACAATTATATCCAATTGTGCCTCGGAATTCAATAAAACCCACGCTCCCACCAAAAGAGTCAATGACATCTGTGCAGAAAAAAGATCATTTAAAGTCATCTGAGGGGAACCTGGCTGGCTCAGTCCATAGAACACGGGACTCTTGATCTCAGGATTATGAGTTCAAGCCCCACATTGGACGTGGAGCCTGCTTTTAAAAATAATAATAATAGGGACCCCTGGGTAGCTCAGTCAGTTAAGCATCTGCCTTCAGCTCAGGTCATGATCCCAGGGTCCTGGGATCAAGTTCCGCATTGGGCTCCCTGCTCATCAGGGAGCCTGCTTCTCCCCCTCTGCTTGCCGCTCCCCCTGCTTGTGCTCTCTCTCTCTGACAAATAAATAGAATCTTAAAAATAAATAAACAAATAATAACAGCAACAACAACAGTGTCACCCGAAAAGTAAGTGTGGAGGACTACCCAAAATGTTTTGAAGAAAAGAAGTTTTGAAAGAAAAGATGAGCAGGAATTAACCCCTACATTGAAAGGCCAATACTTCAGGGGTGCCTGAGTGGCTCAAGTCGGTTAAGTGTCTGCCTTCGGCTCAGGTCATGATCCCAGGGTCCTGGGATTGAGCCGCGCGTCAGGCTCCCTGCTCAGTGGTGAATCTGCTTCTCCCTCTCCCTCTGTGATCTCTCTCGCTCCCACTCTCAAATAAATAAAAATCTTTTAAAAAGAAGAATAAAATTAAATTAAATTAATGGAGAAAATTTGAGATACTTTAGGATTCTGGTCTTGGGTGTTTGTATTTAATTCTGAGGCCTTGATTTAAATCTTTCATTGTATTGTGATTTCCTTTTAGGTGTATTGAACTAAGTGAAACTTGTCAAATACATCTTCCTTTTAAAAACTAAAAGAAAAAAAAATAGGATATAAGAAAATGAGAAGGGACACCTGGGTGGCTTAGTCAGTTAAGCATCTGCCTTCGGCTCAGGTCACGATCCTAGGGTCCTGGGATCAAGTCCCGCATCAGGCTCCTGCTCAGTGGAGAGTCCGCTTCTCCCTCTGCTTGCCGCTTCCCCTGCTTGTGTGCACTCACATGCTCTCTCTCACTCTCTCTCTGACAAAATCTTTTTTAAAAAAATGATAAAACAAGCCACCACAGGGAAAAAAATAGTTGAAAAGACCTATTTGATAAAAGACTTCACCAAAATACACAAAGAACTCTTAAATCTCAAAGGTAACAAACAACCCCATTAAAACGTGCAAAAGATGAGAAGAGATACCTCGCAAAGAAGATATAGAGATGGCACACAGGTATATGAAAAGACGCTCTACATCATATGTCAACAGGAAAACATACATTAAAACACTGAGATACCACTAGAATGGCCAAACCTATCACACCGAAAATACCAAATGCTAGTGAGGATGTGGAGCAACAGGAAATCTCATTTATTGCAGACAGGAATGCAAAATGGCGCAGCCACTCTGGAAGGCAGTTTGGTAGTTTCTTACAAAACTAAACATACTCTTACCATATGATCCAGCAATCATGCTCCTTGGGATCTTCCCAAATGAGTTGAAAACTTATATCCATATAAAAACCAGCACACAGATGTTTATAACAGCTTTATTCATAATTGCCAAAACTTGGAAGCAAGCAAGATGTCCTTCAACAGAGCTGAATGGATAAACTGTGGTACATCCAGACTATGGAATGTTATTCAGCGCTAAAAAGAATTATGCTATAAAGCTATGAGAAGTCATAGAGGAAACTTAAATGCATATAACCAAGTGAAAGAAACCAATCTGAAAAAGCTACATACTGTACAATTCCAACTACGTAACAAAACTTTGAGAAAGCAAAAAAAAAAAAAAATGTTGCCAAGGAGCTAGGGATGAATAGGTACAGCACAGAGGATTTTTAGGAGCATGAAAATATCCTGTATGATACTATAATAATACTCTGTATGATTCTATAATGATGGATACATCTCATTATGTATTTGTAACCCACAGAATGTTCAACACCAAGAATGAACCCTAATGTAAACTACGGACTTGGGGTGATTATGACGTGTCAGTGTAGGTTCATCAGTTGTAACAAAAGTACCACTCTGGTGGGGGATGCTGATTATGGGGAAGGCTAAGAATAACAGCCAGAGCAATCTTGAGCAGAAAAACAAAGCTGGAGGTATCACAATTCCAGATTTCAAGATACACTACTAAGTTGTAGTAATCAAAACAGTATGGTACTGGCACAAAATAGACACACAGATCAATGGAATAAAAAAGAGAGTCCAGAAATAAATCCACACTTATATGGTCAATTAATCTGTGGCAAAGGAGGCAAGAATACACAATGGGGAAAAGACAGTCTCTTCAATAAATGGTGCTGAGAAAACTGGACAGCTTCGTGCAAAAGACTGAAACTGAACCACTTTCCTACACCATATACAAAAATAAACCCAAAATGGATTAAAGACCTAAAAGTGAGACCTGAAACCATAAAAATCCTTAGAGAGAACACAGCAGTAATTTCTCTGACATCAGCCATAGCAACATTTTTCTAGATGTGTCCTCTAAGGCAAGGGAAACAAAAGCAAAAATAAACTACTGGGACTATACCAAAGTAAAAAGCTTTTGCACAGCAAAGGAAACCATCAACAAAACAAAAAGACAACCTATTGAATGGGAGAAGATATTTACAAATAATATATCCAATAAAGAGTTAATATCCAAAAATATATAAAATATATAAGGAACTTATACAACTCTACACCAAAAAAACAAACAAAAAAATCTGATTAAAAAATGGGCAGAGGACTTGAATAGATATTTCTCCAAAGACCTACAGATGGCCAACAGACACATGAGAAAGATGCCCAACATCACTCATCATCAGGGAAATGCAAATCAAAACCACAATGAGGTGTCACCTCACACCGGCCAGAATGGCTAAAATAAAAAAGACAGTAACAGGGCGCCTGGGTGGCTCAGATGGTTAAGCATCTGCCTTCAGCTCAGGTCATGATCCCAGGGTCCTGGGATCGAGTCCCGCATCAGGCTCCCTGCTAGGCGGGGAGCCTGCTTCTCCCTCTGCCTCTGCCTCTCTCTCTCTCTCTCTGTCTGACTCTCATGAATAAACAAATAAAACTGAAAAAAAAAAAAAAAGACAGTAACAAGTGTGGGTGAGGATGCGGAAAAAAGGGAACACATGCACGCTACTGGTGGGAAGGACACCGGTGCAGCTGCTGTGGAAAACAGTACAGAGGTTCCTCAAAAAGTTAAAAACAGAATACCATGTGATCCACTACCCAGCAGTGGAATTACACTAATGCAAAAAGATACATTTGTCCCTATGTGTAATGCAGCATTATTTAAATAGCCACGATATGGATTCAACCTAAGTGTCCATCATTAGACAAATGGATAAGGAAGATGTGATACACACACACACACACACACACACACACTGAAATATTCTGCAGCCATAAAAAGGATGAGATTGTGTCATTTGGTTTTTGTTTGGTTGTTTGTTTTTTTAAGATTTTATTTATTTATTTGAGAGAGAGTGAAAGAGAGCGAGCGAGCACGAGCAGGGGGAGGGGCACCAGTTCGCATTCCCACCAACAGTGCAAGAGCATTCCTCTTTCTCCTGATCCTCCCCAACACTTGTTGTTTCTTGTGGGGTTTTTTTGTTTTTGTTTTTTTTAGATTTTTATTTCTTTATTTGACAGAGAGAGCAAGAGAGCACAGGCAGGGGGGAGCAGCAGAGGGAGAGGGAGAAGCAGACTCCTCGCTGAGCAGGGGCTCGATCCCAGGATCCTGAGATCATGACCTGAGCCGGAGGCAGACGCTTAACCGACTGAGCCACCCAGGCGCCCAGAGATTGTCATTTGCAACAACATGGATGTACCTAGAAGGTATTAATGCTAATGAAATAAGTCAGACTAAGAAAGACAACAGCATATAATTTCACTCATATGTGGAATCTAAAAAAGAAAAATGAATAAACAAAAAGCAGAATCAGATTGGTAAATACAGAGAACTGATGGTTACAGGGAGTGGGGGAGGACAGGCAAAATGGGTGAAGGGGAGAGGGAGACACAGGCTTCTAGTTATGGAATGAATAAATCATAGAAATAAAAGGTACTGCATAAGGAATATAGTGAATGACATTGTAACAGTGTTACAGGGTGAAAGATGGTAACCATGCTTGTGGTGAGAGTAGCATAATGTATAAACTTACCAAATCACTATGTTACACTCCAACTAATGTAACATTGTGTGTCAACTACACTCAAAAAAAAATTTTAGGGGTGCCTGGCTGGCTCAGGCCTTAGAGCATGTGATCTCAGGTTCATGAGTTTGAGCCCCATGTTGGGGGTAGAGTTTACTTAATAAATAAACAAAAATTAAAAAAATAAAAAGATAATAGGCTATGCATGTATGGAGGCAGGTTGTGTATGGAAACTCTCTGTGCTTTCTATTCCATTTTGTTATGAACCCAAAACTTCTCTGAAAATAAAGCCTATTTTTTTAAAAAGGACAGTATCTCTTATCTGGACTACAATATGCTTCTAACTGACTCACACCCTTCTACAACCAACTCACCACTGGGGCTGGAAAAATCTTTTTTTTTTTTTTTTTTTTAAGTAATCTCTACATCCAACTTGGGGCCATCGGGCTTGAGCTCACGATGCTGAGATCAAGAGTCACATGCTCTACCAACTGAGCCACCCAAAGTCTGCTAGAAAATCTTTTTAATACATATAACCAACCATGTCACCTATCCTGCTTAATAATCCTTCAGCACCTTCCCACTGAACTCAGAATAGAAATCAGTCTTTACAGTGTCCTACAAGGTATGTGCCTACTTCTCCCACCTCACAGTCAACTATTTTCTTTGACCTCTCCATTTCTAGAGTACACCAGGTTTCTCCCAGACTATAGAGCCTTTGCATTTGCCATCCTTCTCTCTGGAAAGCTCTTCGTTAGCTCTCTTTTCAGTGCTTCCCAAAACTGTTTCTAGCTCATTCTTGGGATCTCAACCCCCATGTCACTACCTCCATGAGGGCTTCCCTGACCACTACCTTGAGAGGGAGCTTCTTCAAGGCTTCTCAGATTTGAAAAGGTATGGGCATAAGAATCACCTGAAGAGGGGCGCCTAGTGGCTCAGTCGGTTAGGCATCTGCCTTCTGGTTCAGGTCATGGTCCCAGGCTCCTGGGATTGAGCCCCACAGCAGGCTCCCTGCTCAGTGGGAGGGGGTCTGCTTCTCCTTCTGCCCCTCCCCCTGTTCATGCTCTCTCTCTCTCAAATAAATAATATCTTTTAAAAAAAGTCACCTTGAAGAGCTTGTTACAACTGATTCCTGGCCCCACTCACAGTCCTCCCCAGTCTGATTCTGGGTCTAGGGCGGGGCCCAAGAATTTGCAATTCTAATGACCTCCCAGGGATATAGATGCTGCCCATGTGGGGACCACACTTTTGAGAAGCACTGCACTTCAGCAACATGTAATTAACTTACTAGTTTGTTTACAGACTATTCCACTTTGCTAGCAGGTACCTTCCATAAGAAAAGGAAACTTGTCTGCATTATCCAGTACTATGTACTTACAAAGTGCATAAGGAAAGAACAATGCTGGTCCCCCTGGGATACCTCTACAATTTGTGGAACAATTTCTTCAATACAGAATTTCTCTGATCTCAGTAGGCAACTTTTATTTGCAGAACACGATCTGGATTTTCCACATTGAGAGACAATTTCTTAGCTTGGGTGCCTCTTTTCCCTCTTAAACCTACACATCCACACTCATCACTCTCATACACACAACTCTTATCTCCTCCACCACTATTTACAACCATAGCTATGGAGATAAACTTAAGGGGGCCATAGCTATGGAGATAAACTTAAGGGGGAAATTAGAGCGTGGCCAAGTCAGGCCTTTTGGTCCTTTCCTAATTACCTGATAGCTAACTTAATTTTCAAAGACTGAAAGGAAGCTCAGCTCACCTGAGGCCAAGATGTTTGGAGCATGGCTGATGTCCCCTGGCTTCGTGCACTGTCTTCTTGATTTGGAAAAGCAAGAACCTTAGGAGCTAAGAGAAGAAGAGCGATGAGTGCTTTGCACCCTGTCCTACAACACCCACAGCCGCCTATAGCCTTCCCAGTCTCATTTCCAGCATTGGCAGGAGACTCTCTCAGCACCCCCACCCCCTGTGGCTGATGGCCCCCAACAACCTCATGAACTGCTCTGCCTGGTCCTCGGGACAATTCTCATCTTCCTGCTCAGTCCAAGAGTGTTCCTGAGCCCATTCACACGCAGTGGACGGAGGGATCTAAGACAAATCCTATCCCTAGTGTTGGGTCTGAACAAACCTAAAAGCGCACTTACAGGAACCATGACGTTGACCCAAAAACGGAGCCAATGGAAAGGAGGGACAGAGACGGCAAGATGCGGATTAACAGTTACTCAGTGTTCCAGTGGGTGATGCTGACCGGAGACCCAACCGGGGAATCAGAGACCCTAAACAGAAACGTCAGTAGTGGGCGCGGGAGGCTGTTGGGCCAAGTTCTTTAGGACAGAAAAGAGGATCACGCCTCGGTGGGCAGGGGGCTGGGCCACGGCTCTAGAAGGCCGCGCAGCCACCTCGGGCGGCTTCTGCGAGGCCCAGGCGCCCGAGCTCCGAGTCAGGGAGGGGGGGGTGAGCCGACACTGGGCCCGAGTTCAGGGGTCGGGGGCGCTGACGAGCCGCCAGGGAAAACGAGGAAGCCGACGCCGGGCGGACCTTGCACGTAGAACTCGCTGGAACCCACGCTCTCCCTCTCCGAACACCAGAAAGCTGGTAGAGGCAAGCCGATGCGGAAGCGAGCGCGAGCGCCAGCGCCCAACGCCCCTCTAGGCCGCGCGGAGGCAGCCCGTCTCTGTGGTTCCCACGGCCCGGCCCACGTGGCCCGGCCGGCCGCGCGGAAGAGGCGGGGTTGCGGGCGGGCCGCTGCCGGCCTGCTCATTGGCCGGTGCCTCCCCCGCTGCCGCCGCTGCAGCCTCTAGGGGTCAGGCACGCTGCGGCTCTGGTGCCCCGTCTAGACCCAGGTGGGCCCGGGTTAACGGAAAGCCCGTCAGCGGTCGGCCGCCTTTATTCCGAGCGTCACCCGGCCTGCGCTGCTCTGGGGAGAATGGTTCCCGGTGTTTCACCTCTTGGAGACCCAAGCCAAGGACACTGCTTGGGTCCCCCAAGCTGGGCCGCCCTTGGGAACATCCACCCGTGTAAAGCCCTCTCCCTTCCTAGGACCTGCACGTGTGGGTCCTTTTAGGACAGACTCATTTAGCTACCAACATAATAGTGACTAAATTTGCCAGGCATCCTGTATATACAGGACATGTCCTATGTTAGATGATTTTGTTCTGTATTGACATGTCCTCTGTTTAGCTTTTCCCAATAAATTTACCAAAAAAATCTGTAGTTTAGAGCTATTTTTCCACCCGGTAACTGGCACTTAAATAATTTCACTGTCAACACTGGCTAAAAAAAAAAAAAATCATACCTTCTATAAATAAAGATCTGGATAATCCCTTAACAGTCTCTCCTGCAGGTTTGGCTGTGTGAAGTTAAAACAGAATTAACAGATTAAAGTTACCTGTTTTTCATTTTCAAGTAATTGCCGTTAATTTGCACAACTTTGGGTCAGTACACATGTTCTGCAAATCAGCCAATAGAGTGACAGTCTCACTTAGGTGGTCCCAATTTGCTTCTGAAAGTTAGCAAATCAATGGAAGCCCAAGCTTCTGAACATGAACCAATTAGTGGCAAACACCCCTGAAAATTAGCCAATCAGTGACAAACGGAAAGTCAGCCAATCAGTGCCCTCAATATAGCGACCAAGACTTTGGAAATCACTGGGTCGCCATGTTCCAGTGATCACGGCCTGCTAGTGTGGCTGCCAACGTGAACGGACTTGTATTGAACACATGTTCAGATACACGCCTCCTACTCACCAAGCACTTCAGTGCTATGGAGGGAAATTGGCCTCCCACTGCTATAAGATAGAACGATCCTTGCTATCTGGATATGGCTCTATCACAAGTTTCTACTCCTTTTGTTACCAAAACCATTTGGCTGCCTGTTACCTGAAAGATCACCCAAGAGACGAGTTTTGTTTGGAAAGGAATCTGAGCTTAATCAGGAGGCCAGCAACCGAGGGAGATGTTGGACTCTTGTCCAAAAGCCCACTCCGAGGTTTCTGCCTGGCCCCGGGGGGCTTAAAGGAGTTTAGGATAGTTAATCGGCAAAAACTGGGCAGTGGCCTGTAGCATTTCTTGATCACTTGCAGATTTGAGGCCAGCTAGAAACATTTTCAGTGCTGGGGTTGTGCATGGGGGTCCTGTTCTTGTGTCATGATGTGCCCAAGTACTCCCTTCTTTCTGGAAAGCAGGGCAATGTCTATAGATACACAAAGGGAGGTTAGTAAAATCATTTGTGTAACCTAAAAAAATAATATTTTGGTTAAAAAAAAATTGCTGGACTGATCAGAAATCCGAGGTGGCTTCAAACAGACTTGCTGGCCTTTGGGACCTGGGAAGGTTCTGATTCTTCTCAAGGCCAATGGTCTGCAAATCTCAAAGTAAAATAGTTCTGTTACAGACTGAGGCCTTAAGTCAGCAAGTAAAGAGTGTTAACCCTTAAGACCGGCTGGAGTGCTGTTACACTTCCACAGGAATTAGACTATTACTAACAAACTACAGCTTAAAGTCCTGTCATGGAGAGTACAATAGGTATCTCCTGCTGCATAATCATCCCAAAACTTTGTGGCTGAAAACAATATACATTTATTATTGCTTAAAGTTTCTGTAGACCAGGAATTCAAGAGTGGTTTGGCTGGAAGACAGCAGCTTGGGATCTCTCATGAAGTTCCAGGCAGGTGTCACCTGGGGCTGCACTCATCCGAAAGCCTTGACTGAGCCTACAGCATCCGCAGCCAAGATAATTCAAGTACATGACTGGCAAGTTGGTACTGGTTATTGGTGTGAAACTTCAGTGCCTTCCCACACTGGTTTCTGCACACAGCTGAGCGTCCTCACGTGGCTACAGGATTCTACCTAAGGTAAGCGATCCAAAAGGCCAAGGCTAGGGGCACCTGGCTGCCTCAGTTGGTGGAGCATGTGACTCTTGATCTCAGGGTCATCAGTTCAAGCCCCACACTGGGTGTACAGTTTACTTAAAAAATTAAAATCTTATTAAAAATAAAAATTAAAAAAGGCCAAGGCCAACTAGTGTTATGACCCAGCTTCGGAAGTCATGCACCATCATCACCTCAATATACTACCAACACAGGCCAGTCATAATACAGTATTAGATGAGATACACAAGGGCATGAATGCAAGGATTAGAATCACTGCGAACCATATGGAGGCTGCCTAGCGCTGAGATTTTGCCTATCACAGAAACTATATATTTTATAAAATTTCCAGTATTTTTATTGTAAAGCTTCTGTACAATTGTTTTAAATAAATGAATTAGATTTCCAGGAACAATAGCATGATGAGGACTTTTATTTTCACATTGCCCCTTCTCTAAACCTATCAAAATGAACATCTACCATGAATCTAGAAAGATGGGCACACATATATGGGTGCACACACACACATATACATCACAAACCCTTAAAAAGTATTAGCCAGGGGCGCCTAGGTGGCTCAGTCAGTTAAGCATCTGCCTTTGGTTTAGGTCATGATCCCAGGGTCCTGGGCTGGAGCCTCATTTTGGACTCCCTGCTCAGCGGAGAGCCTGCTTCTCCCTCTCCCTCCCCTCTGCTGCTTCCCCTGCTTGTGCTCGCTCACTCTCTCTCAAATAAAATCTTTAAAAAAAAAAAGTATTAGCCAATTATCACAATCAGGTCTAACTTGAAGGGGTACAATATTGGACACAGAATTCCTCTATCTGGTATTACAGTGCAGGGAGAATATGAGAGTTTTGGGTAGACCCAAATAAAAATCCCCAAGTTGTGAAAATGAGAATTGGAATCATGGGCAGTCAGAGGAGAAAACTGAGAGCATGGAACAAGAGTCCCATTCTTTCCCAGAGCAGCCTCACCAGAAGGACAGAGTACAGGCAGTGCTGACCTACAGGCAGCTAGAAAGCAAGGTGAACCAGGAGATGGGACACTTGAGCTGCTTTTACAGCTGTCAGTGAGCCTGCTCATGTATCAGCAAAATTGAAGGTCTGGAGCTGGATGTCCCTCACCTGGCCAATGCCACAAGGACTGGCTCTCCCTAACACACTATCCCCAGCCACTAGCCAGTGCAATAAGGCAAGAAAAAAAATCCAGAATTGGAAAGAAGTAAAATGGTTATGAACATGATTCTCAATGTTAGAAAAATGTTATTAAAATAAGTGAGTTGTGCAAGATTGCAGGATACAAGGTCAAAATACAAAAATCAATTGCATTTCTATATACCATCAATGAACATTTAGAAATTTGCTATTACAACGGCATCAAAACATGATATATTTAGACAAATCTGAGAAAAGGTGTGGAAGACTTATACAGTAAAAATTACAAAACACTGCTGAAATAAAGATCCAAATGAGAGATTTACCATGTTTTTGAGTTAAAAGACTATACAGTTAAGAAAGATGTGAATTCTCCCCAAAATTGATCTAGAGTCCATACAATCTCAATCAAAATTTGAGGGTATGTTTTGTAAAAATTTGCAAACTGATTCTAAAATTCCTGTGAAATGCAAAGGAACTAGAATGGCCACAACTTTGGCAAAACACAAAATAGGAAAACTAACACTGTGTGACTTCAACACTTAGAAAAAGTACAGTAATTGGGGCACCTGGGTGGCTCAGTTGTTAAGCGTCTGCCTTTGGCTCAGGTCATGATCCCAGGGTCCTGGAACTGAGCCCCACACCAGGCTTCCCATTCAGCAGGGAGTCTGTTTATCCCTCTCCCTCTGTCCCTCTCCCCCGACCTCACCTGTGCTCACTCTCTCTCAAATAAAATCTTAAAAAAAAAAAAAATTAAGAGAACAAAAAGGCAAGCCACATGCTGGGAGAAAATGTTTAGAAATCACGTATCTGGAAAAGGACTTGTATCCACAATATATAAAGAACCCCCCACCCCCCAAAAGACCTCCCAAATATCAATAAAAAGAAAACAACCCAATAAAAACATAGGCAAAAGATATGGACACTTAACCTAAGACATATGGAAGGCAAATAAGCACATGAAAGTATGTTCAACATCATTAGTCATTAGGGAAATGCAAAGTAAAATCACAATGAGACAGCATTATACTTTAGAAGAGCTAAAATTTAAAACAATATTAAGCATACCCAAAGATGTCTTGGAAGTATAACTCTCATACAATGCTGGTACGGATATAAAATGGTACAACTTCTTTGTAGGGGTTTAAGATTCTTAAAAATGTAAATATATACTGGGGTGGGCACCTGGGTGACTCAGTCAGTTGAGCATCTGACTTCAGCTCAGGTAATGATCTCAGGGTCCTGGGATTGAGCCCTGCGTCAGGGCATCCAAGGTCCCCGATCCGCAGGGAGTCTGCTTGTCCCTCTCCGCTCCCCCCAACCCCGCTCCTGTGCAGGCACATGCTGTCTCTCCCTCTCTCTTAAATAAAACCTTTTTTAAAAATGTAAATATATACCTACCTTATGACCCAGGCATTCCACTCTCTTAATTACCCAAGAGAAATAAAAGCATACGTCATTACAAAGACTTAAACACAAATGTTCATAGCAGCTTTATTTGTAATAACCAAAAACTGGAAATAGCCCAAATGGCCATCAAGAGATGAATAGACAAATTTTGGTATTTCCATAGTGGAATACTACTCAGCCAAAAAAAAAAAAAAAAGAACCACTGATATAATGAATATGTAACATAGGTAAATCTCA